GCCTCTCCTTTGATCTTAATGCTTGGGTAGGTTCATAACATTTTGGTAAGATGCATACATATTGGTAACCACTCTGGGCATATTTAAATAGATCAGAATAACTTGAATATTAATACCTAAAAATAGCACAGGACAGAGATGCAAGAAAGAGGAATCAACCTAAGAAAATCCATTGCACATGTCAGCTGTGAATGATGGGAAGTGTATCAGTTGTAGGGGTGTACCTCTTGTTTGAAAATTTAACTGAAGGCTACAGATATCACCTCTTCTTCCACTGTCTCCAAAAGGGCCATAAAAAGGATTTACAAGGTCAACTAGTAGGGAATCATGACACCTATTTGAGGAGTTTAGGAACAACTATAAGATAGGGATGTGGTGGCGCTGCAGGTTAAACCACAGAAGCCTCTGTGCTGTAAGGTCTGTAGATATTCAGCTGTAAGAGCGAATCCATGTGACAGAGTGAGCGCCCGTCGCTTGTCCCAGCTCCTGCCAACTTAGCAGTTTGAAAGCATGCACATGTGAGTAGATAAACAGGGACCACCTTGGTGGGAAGGTAACAGTGTTCCGTGTCTAAGTCACACTGGCGATGTAACTATGGAAGACTATCTTCGGACAAACGCTGGCTCTATGGCTTGGAAATGGGGATGAGCCCTAGAGTCGAACACGACTGGACAAAAATTGTCAAGGGGAACCTTTACCTTATAAGATATTCAGAAATAGATTACTGAGATTATTTAAAAGTTCCCAAGAATGCTTACACATAGGGATGTGATGTGCTAGGAATATCTGATGCACAACTATTGCTTTAATCCTATGGACTGGCATTAATATCCCACACGAGGGCTCTTCATCCTGCACCAGTCATAATGCAGTGGTTTCCAAATGTTTTTTTTATTTGTGGTTCCTTTTACTTGCTGTGCACTGGCTGTGGCTCCACAGTACAGTAGGACTGCTGTATCCATGGGATCAGTACCTGCAGTTTCATTTATCAACTGTGTGAAAAAAATAATAAAATAAAATAACACATGAATACACCTTCCCAAGGTGTACTACCAAGACTGGCCACTAGATGGAACCAGAGGCTATGCTATATACAGGTGGCTTAATGGAAATTCACTCATAGCCTGACTTCTTTGAGGGAAGCACCTCAAGTAAAATGGAGAAACCACATTTTTTGAGGGACTGGGGTTAGGGAAGACTGTCTTTGGAACAAGATGGCAGGAAACCCAGTCCTTTGGCAAGACTGGGCCAGAGTTCCCTCTCTCCACTATATACGGACACCAGAGATGCAAGATACTTTGAGTGAGGGGGAGAAAAGGAAGGGGGAAGGATGAGAGGATTCTGTGGCACCCTGAGTGGGTTTCCCAGTACCCCACAGAGCCACAGCACACAGTTTGGGAAACAGTGGCATAATGTGCGAAAAGGAGATGTGGAATGGACATGTGCCAGTGAGAGTCATGGGCAACTGCATTTATCCTCCCCTAAGTGTGATGACCCTGTGATGTCAGTAGGATGGAATAGGTTGAATGAGTCCAATGTTACTACCTGTTTACCATAGTTCACCCTGATATCTTAAGACAACCATAATCAGTCCAGATCCTTGGGTATGAATTTTCCATCAGCAACATAGTGATTTCTTCCAGTGTGTGATAACTTACTTGAATATCCAAATGCATTGTAGAGATAGAATAGGGTTGTGATTCACTGCAAGTGCAACTAGGATGTGAAGTCTTTGTTGATCCAGGAGGAAACAATGAGCTGAGGCTTGGCATATGATTGCCATTTATCGGAGCATTCAGGTGACTGATTTCTGCTCCAGAAGTCCCTCCTCTTTACCTTGTCATTCACAATATCAGAGTACTCACCTTAATGTGGGAGGGGACTTTCTTTTCAAAGGAGTAATCTCTTTAGGAATTGCATGCTAGTATAGGAGGAATCAAAACCAAAACAAACAAACAAACAAACAAATGGGCAAATCCCTTCTCTGATAAATCATTGTCTCTGACACCTCCTTCCTCTGTTTCTCCTTCCTCTTCCCCTTGACACTCCTCTCTTTCTCTCTCAGTCACGTCCTTCCCCTTCCCTTTGTCTCTTTCTTAAGTGGTTAGGAAGAAAAGGGCAGATCCTGTTGGTTGATATCTGAAGCCGCTGGGTGAAACATGTAGCTCATGGACTGCAGGCTGACCACCCTTGCATTCATGATATAAGCTGTCTTGATGGGGGCTAGATCAACAGTCCAGGGAATCCAGCACTCTTATTCTGGTTGATCGGAGATTATAAGGGATTTTTTTTTAAACCAAAGGACCATCCCAGATCATCAGTTCTTTAAACGGGCATATTTGGTATGGCTGGTTGTTGCACCCATCAAGATCAGGTTTCTGCTGAGACCCATGGCCAGCTGAAAGATTTAGGAAAAGCCGGACAAAACCGTCACCTCCATTGTTGCCTTGATATACTGGATGTCAAGTTGGAGAATGGGCTAGAGTGCAAATTTGACCAAAGCTGCTGTGAAGGAACAGCCCTGAAATCTAGGACTGTCGCTGATTGTAATGGCTGAATCCAGGACACTTAGAGGAAAGAACGTTGTTCTCTATCTATGAACGTGTTACCCATTCATTTAGGTACCCATCTGTAAAAATGATTTGCATCCTATAAATACTGTCATGAGCACGTTCAGTTGCTTTCCCTGGAGCTAGTGTCAAACCAAGTGAATTAGCCCTTGGGTATGCTTTTAAAACATTTATTTCAGTGGAAAAAAGAAAAAAAAGGGAAGCACAGCTTGTTATGTGCCTTCAAGACCAAGCTGACTTACAGTGACCCTAATAGGGCTTACCAATTAAAATCCCCCAGTGAGCTTCCAGAGCTGAATTGAGACTCAAACCCAGGCCTTCAGAGTCCTAGTCCATCACTCTATCCACTGCACCACACCAACTATCTCCCTATTCTTTCCCACTCTTTCTGTCACTGTCACACCAGTTTTGCTACAGTAGCACATGACAAGCTGTAACAAGCAGTGCTTTTCCCTTGTCCACAGTGAAAAGCATGGAAGTAAAATGTGCATGTGCACATGTCTTTAAACATGCAGAGTTTATACAATTATTTGCAAGGAGAATGACTATCCTAGCATGCTGAAGCTCCTGATAACAGCAGGGAAAGGATGGGGCTCTCCCCCCACCCCCATGGAAATCACAGCTCAATTATGAGTGGTTTCAGTACGTCAGTGTATTCATTTATGCAATAAGAGCACCTTTCAAAGCATTGCCAGATGCATTTGTAGAACTAGGGAGTCCTTTATTCTAGGTGTTTAATTGGATTTAGTTATCTGCTCATCCAACAATTGGATCAAGGAAACAAATACAGTTTGGCAGATTTCCCAAGTATGTGAATTGCTGTTATCTATGAGGATGGAAAGTCCCTGCTGAGGTTGCAAGATTTTTTTAAAAAAAAAACCCTTGCTGCTTAATAAATAGCTTTCAAGTGCCCCTTTTCAAAAAGAGTGACTGCTCATAAGTAGCCTTCCCCTAAAGCCTGGTGATTTAACCTTCACTCACCAGATACTCCTGGTTTGGTTAAGATGCGGAGCTGTGGAGCAGATCTGCTTCCAATCAGTTTGACTGTTACCTTGATCAGTGCGTGGAAGCTGGCTGTGTTGCTTTCTGCTGAATGTACCCTCACATGCTTAGGATTAGGGTCGAAGAAGCTGGGAGTCATTTGCCTTCAAAGTTTGGATTTCGTCACGCATGAAGAGAAGCAGAGACAGTAAAAGTCTCCTTGTCTGTTCGACAAGGCTGTTTTCTGAGACACAAAGATTGCGAGGGGCAAAGCCCTCCAATGTGTGAATAGTGCCCTAGTTCTGTTTTACACCCAACCCCTGTGGTTCTGTTCCTTTTGCTGTGGTCTCCTCTTCTTGAATTGGCTAGCTTTAATAAGTCATTCTTGTCCTATAAACATGACTGGATGGCTCATTGTGATGCAATAATTTTGGCATTTTTAACATTTGGTAAATGTGGCAGCTAGGCATGAAACCAGGACTCCTTGTAGTCTTCGGCAGACCTTGAAAATGCTGCTTTACACACAGATTATAATTATATACTACACTACTCTTGGAGGAGCCTTGTGGCGCAGTGGTTATACTGCAGCACTGCAGCCAAAACTGTGCTCACGACATGGGGTTCAATCCCAGGTAGCCGGCTCAAGGTTGACTCAGCCTTCCATCCTTCCGAGGTCGGTAAAATGAGTACCCAGCTCGCTGGGGGGGCAATGTGTAGCCTGCATAATTAACTTGCAAACCACCCAGAGAGTGCTTGAAGCAGCATGTTTTGCTCTTTTATAATTATATGAATCCCCCAGTCAATTCAGTGGTCATGCAGTCTGAAGGGAGTTTTAAACCAAAGAATAAACTCTTTTTCCAGTTCTTCTCTTCTGATTTCTTCATTCTTGCTGCCAAAATATCAAGGATGCTACAAGCAGATTAAAATGCATGTATACTGTATAAATTATTTTTTACCAAATGCCGGGGGGTTCATTCTTGCTGCCAAAATATCAAGGATGTTACAAGCAGATTAAAATGCATGTATATAAAGTATTTTTGACCAAACACTGGGGGTGCAGTGGAAGACAGGAGGGCATGGCATGCTCTGGTTCATGGGGTCATGAAGAGTTGGACACAATGACTAAACAACAAAATATAAATTACTACTGTGTTGACTTAACGACTAAACAACAACAAAATATAAATTATTACTGTGCTAGTCAGAAAACAGCTTAAGTTTAAATGGTACTTTAAATGTAACCTTCATCTCAGATTTCCACAAGCACTCCCAGGTGGAAATATACTTATGACATATTTAAGAAATAGTTGCCCCCCCCCATGCACCAACCTAGCTGTTCTCATTTGGTGCACATTTGACATTAATTTCCATTGATCTGGGAAATTTTGAAAGGACTGAGCAGGAGAATACTGTTCTTCACTATTATAACTGTGTTTTTCTCCAATGTAGGTCTGGTTCCAAAATCGTAGAGCGAAGTGGAGAAAGAGAGAACGATATGGCCAGATCCAACAAGCAAAAAGTCACTTTGCAGCCACCTATGATATATCTGTCCTACCAAGGACTGATAGCTATCCGCAGGTATTTAATGCATTGAAATACTAGTTCTGTTTTCACAGCACACAAAACACTGGTTCTTTTTGCTCTGCAGAAGACGTCATTCATCAAGTAGCACAGGCATTATATACAGATTACATTATGTTTAAATTATAAACTCAGATTTTCATTGTCTTTTGCCCTCTTCTAGAGCCATGTGGAAGCTTTTGTCTGACCGAGGGGCTCTTGCATGGACAACTGTTACATTCTGTGAAGAGACAATCTCCGCAAGTGTTATGAAAATGTTCTGAAGAAAAATATGAGCAGGAATGGAGTGTCCCTGCCTTATCCTCCCATCACTTTATTGCCTTGTAAATACAGAGAGGTGACTCTCCTCTATCTGTAGATGCTTCCTACACCATTTGGAATGCTGGGCTGTGTCTCTGGTGGAGGACAGCTTTCTGCAGAACAGAATTGTCAAGAGCTTGGCATTGTTTCTATTTAGGCCCAGAATTCCCTAGTCATTGTGGTAACTGATCACACAGAGCAACATTTCCAAGCTTTGGGATGATTCAGAAGGTTACCCTTCACCAGTGACACAGTGGTGGGTCTGGACACTCTTCCTCCTCATGTATTTATTCAGCATATTTTTATAATGCCTAAATAGGGCTAGATAGATTATCTCAGTGTATCTACTGTACACTGCAACTTTATAGCAGTAATTGATATGAATACCACTGTAACTCTCATTGTTCCAACTTTCAAAATCTTGTGAAAGGTGCTTTGGTGAAATCAGGGTTTTTGTTCATTTGAGGCCCCTTCCTACTACCTCCTTCTTATAGAACTCTCATTTTTTCCTGTTAATTGGAGGAGCAGAGGAAGCATGTATGCAATACTTTCAGAAAACCAGTTATATTTGACATTAGAATGTTATGATTTTATAACTAAACTTAAAGAAAACATTTACACACAGAGACAAATTATATTTAGATAACTTTCTAAGTTATTTCTTTTCCCTTTCTTTTCTTGTCAGCAAATTCAGAAATCAAATTATCAAAAGATATTTCTCTCAGAAGGTCCCGTTTTACGGCTATAAAAGATAATGTCAACCGTCTTGACTGTACCATCATCAAATATATCTTATATTTTAAACAAAGGTTAATCTGAAGAATGTTCTTTCTCCCTGGCAATTCAAAATCAGCAGAATTAGGTGAAGACAGAGAAATATGACAACATTTGGAAAAGCTTCAGCCAAGTCTATATTGTATATTATCTTCAAATAATTATGGCCACACTGTCTCACTTCTTTGCAGCAGAGATTCCCACATCCCTTTGGATTTTTAAGAAACCTTCATGCTGCCCCCATCTCTCTTTGACCATCAATTTCAACCTCTAGAATTTTGAAATCATAAATTAAAACTGCACTGGTATAGCTCAGTGGGTTGGAGTACCCGGCTGTAGAACCAGGGTGGGGCATTTGAATACCCACTGTGCCTTTTGTGTGTTGCTGATGGAGTCATGTGGCTTTTTGCAAACTGCCCAATCCTAGAGCACAACCAGAAGAGGAGGGAATGTAAACCATTTGTGAGTGCTCTCTACTTAGAATACCCTGGTAGAACCATTGTAAGTGGGAGTCAACTGGACTGCACATAATAACTACTATTAATTTGTGGAACTAATGATGATGATGATGATGCATTAGCTGAAGGAAGACAAGCCAAGAGCTTGTCTCATTGGAGGCAGACTAGGTTCAGTCCAGTGTAAGTGTGCACAGAATATCAATCTTCACTCTGTCAGTTTGCCATTTGGGTTGTAACATCTTTCCACGGGAGGGGGGGGGAAGAAATGAGTGATTACATAGGTCTCTAAGCCATCTTGCACAGTGACAACAGAAGAGAGAGGAAGAAGAAGAGAAGGATGTTCTTCTCACAATTCCACCACAACAAAGATAGGGAGAGAGAGCTGAAGACATGCAGTGGAAAATGGTGGATAACAGCAGGCAGCAGCGCTAGCCACATATTGTTCTCTTTCCTTCTTTCATGCACCATCTGCACGTACCACAGGCATACCATCCGAGGGCGGCCCTCTCTAGAGCCCAGGGCCATAATTAGGGCAGAGCACCTTGGGCTTTGCCCCCAAGGCACCAACATTTACAAAGCACCAAAATCTAGAGGTGCATCTACTAGAGAGTGTTAAGAAAATAAACAATAACACCTCCTAGCCTTGTCTAATCCCCCCTGTTTTTAAAGCAGGATCTTTCGTTTTCTTTTGTAGGGATGTTACATTCTCTTCCTCTTTTTTCCTGCGGGTGGGTGTGCCTTCCCCTGCTGCTTGTGCCAGGTGCCCCCCCAAAGCCAGCTGTTTTAACACATACCTGTCTCTGAGAAGTGTCCTCAGATTCAGGCAACTGTGGAACAGCTGGCTTCAAAAATTGCCTCTGATGCAGATGTGGACAAACAACGAGCGATACTGCTGCCTGTCTGCACCTCCTTCTTGTCTTTGTCCTGGGGCGCTGGCAGTACTTCTGTGCTGCCTTTTTCTTCTTCTTGCTCCATTAAAGGAAGCAGCAGCTATAGAATGGAAAACACGCACACCACTAAAATATTTGCCAGTCTGGAGGCTCTTTGAAGAGCACTGAACTCCCTGGAATTTCTTCATGCCAATCTATAGGGCTGCATGAACCCATTTCAGAACAGGACTCTGCAGTATCCTAAGAAACTGATAAAACATTTTAGTTTAGAGCAGTGGTTCTTAACCTTTTTGAAAGAAACGCCCCCTTGAGCTTTCTTATTTATTTATTTATTTATTTATTTATTTATTTATTTATTTATTTATTTATTTATTTATTTATTTATTTATTTATTTATTTATTTATGACACTTAAATCCAATGACCCCTGAAAACAAAATTCAATTCCAAGAAAATCAAATGCCCCAAAAACATTTAATGATTTAGTTGCAAGCGAATTTTAAGATGCAAAAAGAAATTTAAAAAGGGCATAAAAACAAACCACAATGCAGGAACTAAAAATTTCAAGACAAAAACTCTGAAACTAAATTAAGATTGGAGGAAAATATATATTCATGCACACTGTAAAAAGGCTGCAGCCATCTTAACAGGTTTGGCTTGCTCCAGGACCCCCCTACTGCCCTCCTTCTGCTCCAGCGCCCCCACACTGCCCCTTTTCGTTCTATCGCCCCCCTGAAAAATGAAATCGCCCCCTGGGGGGCATTATCGCCCACGTTAAGAACCACTGGTTTAGAGTACTAAGAAAGTTACAGATCATTGAGGTAGGCTCCCACTAAAGGGCCTGCATCTCTTTCCAGAGTTTCATGATTTTGGGAAGAATGGTCCACTCTTGGGGTTCTTGGAGAAAAAACACAAAGGTGGGATATAGATACAATTCAAAACAGTCTGGCCATAGTTGAATTGGGAATAGACTGGTGTTCTTAACACAGCCGGTGGATGCAATAATTTGTCTCCTTCACTTATGGTGAAAGGATACTACTATCGTTGCCAGCAGACTTTGCTTTCCAATTGGTTTAGTGCAATTCTGAAAGATAACAGTTGCCAACTGTGCAGCAATGCCAATGTTGATGTGGCGTCTCCACATGTGAGGCCCTTATAGGTGAGTCCTGGGGCAACTGCCCCCCCCCCCGTGACAGTCTTTGCTCAAGTAGATCCTGACTGAGGTACATTAAACCTTCTGCTGTAGCTCAGAGGATGACACTACAATTTTCTAGCATAGAGTAACGCTATCCATGGTTTGACGTAGATACATTGTCTGTTCAGAATGACCTTTCCTATGCCTGCTTTGAGACAGATAGGTAAGCTTGAAACAATGGGAAAGCCTCTGCACAGGGAAAGATCCATGTGTGAGAAGATCTTTCAGTGTGATGAGTTTCACGGTTATTGTGATAGCTTCCCAGTTTGCAGATTTCCTTTTAACTAGGGATGTGCAGATGTGTGAGATTCTCAGGAAGTGGAGAAACTGCCTCTCTGTCCCGTTCTCTCCCCCCCCCATGCTGTTGGAGGCTTTCCTTCCTTTTCCAGCATCCAAGGGGTTGCAATGAGCATGACTTTATGGATGAGTATGATGTGGTGCTCTACTTCCTGTCACAGATGGGTGACCTTGTGTGGCTGCCTGCCTTTAGCTCCTCATTTCCAAGGAGGATTGGCAGAGGACAGGGCAATCTGGTGCATGCTGGAGGTTTTTTCTCCCCTGCTCCAGGTGCCGAAATCAGTAGTTACAGCTTCGGTCTGTCTGCTGTTATTCCATGACACATTAATAGCTGTGCACTGTGTTCAACTGAATGCTGAAAAACTTAACTGCACCAACCTTATTTGCACATCTCCATGGCAACCATGGGAGGGAGCAAAGAGTCCAGAGATGCTCATGAGGTAAAACAGTACCCTCCACAGATCCCTCATGTCACATCTAGCATTAATGGCATTTAAAAGGTTAAACTTTGAGTAAAAAGACACTGTGAAATGAAAATAAGGGAAGAGAGAGCTGAAGGTAAAAAAGACCAGGACATCCCTGGCATTCTCAGATTTTTCAGGTCAGCAGGCTGTAGCAACTACATTCCACATTTTGTTTTGTTTCCTTTCCTTTCCTGTTTTCCATAGTGCAAAGTGAGGGACCTTTCTGAGTACAGACCAGGTTTCTTGCAGATTCCCCACCCCTCATTTTAAAACACATACGTTACTAGGTCTAGGTGTGCACGTGTGTGCAGATGAATGCCTACTTTCCTGTATGGACTTTCGGATGTAAGGTTCCTTCCTTTTGCTTTTGTTTCACTTATTGGCATGGTGGTGGTGTCACTGCGAAAGCTCATAATATCTGTCTCAGGCATCTCTTTTTCTTGGAAGAGGATTCAGTCACAGTGTCTCCAAAAGGACAGGTTGGGAACTAACATGTGTGCCCTTATTCAGATGTGGTCGGGGGGGGGATTCAGTGCCCACCCCTACTTTTGGCTAGACTATATATTAGGTGTTTTGCACAGTATTTCTGGACAGATGAACACTCTTACAAATTCATAAAA